AGATGCTGAACATGGAACTAAGGAACTTACCATTTGCCTTGCTGGTTTTCAGTCTGCTTTTATCATATTCCTTTTGGAATAGGAATGCTTACCCTGCGCCATTGTATGCTGGAAGTATTTATTTATTTTTTTCATTATCACAGCTAAGAGTTCATTCCTTTTACTTAATTCCTTTTTTTCACCCCCTTTCCCTTCTCTCCCTCTATCCGTCTCTTGATCCTGTTCCTTTTTCTTGGTCCATGTTCTCATAATGTTTACATAGTGTTTACACTCTTAGTGTTGAGTTGGTCTATGTATACATTTTAATTCTTTTTTATCTCCTTTTCCCACCTTCTATCTCCCTGCCCTCCATCTCTTTCTCCTTCTCCTTTGAAAAAGATCTAGCTTCCTATTTTCTATTATCTATCTTCTATTTTCCTCCTTATTTATACTTTGGTTTTCTCATAAAAGAGAAAACATGCGATATTTAAGCGTCTGGGTCTGATTTATTTCATTTAACATTAATGGCCTCAAGGTGCATCCATTTTCCTATAAATAGACTAAGTTTCTCTTTCTTTATGGCAGAGTAGTATTCTGTTGTGTGTAAATACCATATTTTCTTTATCAGTTCATCTGTTGATGAACATATAAGTCAAACCCTTGTGACATCTTACAATGAGTAACCATGTAGTACAGTATAAAGGTTCACTGGGTATGACGTCAATATTTAAAATAATTGTGGAATTCAGGATAACATATATTGTTATTCTAACAAAAGGTAGGTATTCTAAATTTGAAGATTAATTTCTCATAAGTACTTATTAAATATTTTAAAGTAATAAATACTTTTATTTCATCTGTTAACAGAAGTGTAATGATTAGCTAAATGAACAGTAACTACTTAAAAAAGGAAATCATACAGTGCAGATAGAATATTGAAAATATGCTTGGGATGTTTCCATATTATCCTTATATGATTTTTTTCTAGAAAAAATACAAATAATAAATTAAAAATGCATGTTTTCATATTTTTTAAAAACTCAAAAACATTATTTTTCTACCTGTGTAAAAACCTCAATTTAAACATTTAAAAAATATGTAATGCAGGAAATTTTTACTGGCCAGAAAAAACAACTTATTGACATCAAAGAATATGATTATTTGCTAGCTAAACATCAGAAAAGTATTATATAAATTAGTGACTAGATTTAAAACAAAGCACACAATTTTCTGAATGTACCTAAGGATGCACTTGTTTCAATGATTGTGAAAGAAAGAAACAAAACACATGTAGTAGAAAACATGAAGGATAACCAGAGATGTACGAATAAAAAGAATTATGACAGAATTCTAAGGAGGGAATGAATTTCAAAGTGTGGTTAATACTGTCAAATCATATAATTAATTGATTGATGTAGTAATAAACAGGAATACTTTAGATTTGATAATTAGGAATTGAGTAATAATAGCAGCAAGAAAGTAGTGTGACCAAATGTAGACAGCAGAAGTACAGTCAGTTACACCCCAACTTTCTAACTCCTCCTATTCCTAGCAGGTACCTACAATCTCACTGCCCTGTTTACTCTCCATTCCCTAAATAAACTTTGAACTTTAAGCATCCTTGTTTTTTTTCTTAAATCATGTGTTTGTTCCTTTAGCTATCATGCCTTTTCAGACATCTTCTGTCTGTTATAATTTAATTTATCCTTCCACAATAATGTCATATATTTGGTAATGTCTTTTCTTAGAACCCTAAGTTAAATCCTTCTTTGTGTTTATAAATATCTTGCTTATAATTCTATTCTTAAGGAAAATAGCATTCAATTTTATTTTAGTTTTTAAATTTATTTTAACTGATACATAACATATATATTGTATATATTAATCCAATTTTATATTAGGTTTGATTCCTACCATGAAGATGTCCTCAAATTTCTAATCTGAAAATTCATTGCAGTTATTCATGATAAAAGAGCTCTTAATCAGGCTTCATTTGAATGTTCATTTGAATGTTCATAGGCAAAACGTCTTCATGGTGGGAATCAAACTTCATATAAGATTGGATAGCATTTAGATAGATGTATGTTAAAGAGTATTTAATCTGAGGACTAGAGTCTCAATAAATAATACTGAAATCTAGTGCATTGAGAAATAGAGAAGTGATGAGTTGGTCTCTGAATATGGATTCTTAAAGGTAAATGGTAGAAAATAAAGTCATAGGTGCTATAAATCTAGTCTCTGGAGCCAATGGAATATTAAGGTAAAGGACAAAGAGTTGGTCCAAATAATAAAGTGCATCCGAAATCATTTTAGGGCATAAAAGTATAACAATAGTACGAAAGGATGAAGCTACGAGTCCAGTTAAAAAGTGACCTAAGTTCGGGGTATAGCTTGTTGGTTGTGCCCTTGCCTAACATGCAGAAGTCTTCAATACCCACCTCCCTCAAAAAAGAAAAATATAGCTTATGATTATGACATTGATTATGATATACAGTTATCTCCAAATTCACGAATTTGCAAGTATTAAATACCTACAAATTGTGCTTAGTAACATTTTTAATAATTTTATGCAGTTACTATATCTTAAATAAGTGAAAGTAAAGAACACAATGTCAGAGATTTTCAGAGAATAAATCTATAGGTTTTAATAACATTCTTTTTAGGTAGTGAAAGAAAGGCATGCAATTGTATTGATCACACTAAAGTTTTGGCTTCTTTGCAAATCCAAATCTCTCTTCCAGTCGTTTAACTTCCACTCTAATCAGTACAAATCTTTTCTATCAACTACAGATTTTAGATAGACAATATGGAAGGAGGGGAATATGAAATCAAGACGACCCTTAACCTGACTTTAGTGATGGCCATTTGATGAAACTTTAAAGTCTCAAACTGCATCCCTCTTTAATTGTTTGGTTTACTGGTGTTTTGGGAACCACGCTCTCATATCGGGAGATTCTGCAGAAATACCCTAATGGCAATGCCAGGCAAATCCCTTTAGAGATGAATGGACAATTTAAATTTTGCCCTGAGACAACTACATAATTATTGTTACTGACCTATGAGTGGAGAGAATATCCTATTTTCATAATGTATTCACCAATGTTTTAAAGACCAAAGTTTTTATTCTTAATTTCTATTAAAACAGCATACATGGCCAATCAGCCTCTCTAAAATGTTGTTATTTTGTGAATTCAAAGTATGATGGTGGATTTCTAATTTATTTATGATATAAATATGCACAAAGATATATTTCTGTAAATACATATTTTATCGATTACATTTTATTAACTTTGTTACTTCATCTATAAATTGAAGACACTTTGCAAAGAAGTACTGAGACATAGTAAGTGGATCAGTTTGACTAACCTTAGTTTAAAAGAATCATCTTTTTATCAGCAAATATACAGGTAGGTCTACAAAATGTGTAGAGTATTTATGGAATGAATAATGAAATTGATTTCTGATTCACACACATGATTATATTTTGGAATGAGTAAAAGAGTTTTATAGAATGCCTTCTAAGAAAATTATTAAAAAAGAAAATGATAATCACTAAAAAACAAGTATTTTTACCAGAATTTACATAAGTATTTTCAGCTGATTTACCACTAGATGTTATTAAAATAATAATAAAATGTATTTTTATATTTTTACAGATATTTTTCAAAACATAATCCTGAAAAATATTTTAAAAGAATTATAGACATGGAGTATGAGAGATACTTTATTTTATTCATTTGATTATAAGATTTTAGTGATAAAACTAGAAAAAACTAATACGTGAGTGAATAGAGAAACCTACCATGTGAGTGAATTTTTAAAGACACTGCATTAAATTCAGCAATGCAAGAATAAGAAACAGAAAAATATTAACCAAAATATGTTTTTAAAACAATGCACTTTGAATAACTATTGTAGGCTTTTCTCCAAAATTGTGTACCTGAAGTATACTAAAGCCAAGAAATTTTAGCAGTTTCTGGAAGAAATCAAAGATACTTTTATGAGTCTTAAAAACTCATATTGCTTCTTCATTTGAAATATTATAATATTGTACTTGCCAGACTATAGTAAATATATAATTAATTTGGGTGTTCATTAGACTCCAATCCATATATGACAGATTGTGAGTAGATAAGTATGTAAATTTAAATGCATAATTGAAGGACCTCTATGAGACTAAAAAAAAAAAAAGAAGATGAGTTTCAGAGAGTACAAGGTAGATATTTATCATGAACATTACTCATGCTGTGAGTGAACCCTTTGTACTAAGTCTTATAATGTGAGATATACATAAGAGACACAAAACTATGGACATGAAATATTAAGACAAATAGATAAGAGGAAAAATTTGTCAGACAAGACAGGAACAGAAGCCAAAAGATGTTAAAATGAATATAAAATATCTTCGTTAAATTTCTTGATAAAAGTACAAAGATGTCCTTTATTCTTATGCTGTCTTAAAAGATAAATAGATCTTTCTTTCAAATGTCTTGATGATCTTATCTGGAAAAGACTAATAAGCCATAGAAAACATTTTAAAAAAAACTCACAGTTCTGTGCAGTTTCTAAAAATTAGCCATGTTTTCACTTAAAAGCTGTTAAAAGAGCAATTTTTTAAAATATTGCATAAATCTCATAGGATAATATGTAGCACCTGTTAATTTTTTGTGAAGAAAAAGTTCACTTAAAATGTTTTTTTATGTTAGGAAATGCAAAATTACATATACTGAATATATGAATTACATATATGGATTTATTAATGAGTGCAAGATAATTCATGTAGAAAAGGAGTTTCCGCACCAGGCATTCACATAGACATTTCAAAACCTATATAGAGTTTCCTGTGTGAATATTCCATGATACATTTCTGTTCACATGCCTTGACCTATGATTATGTACTAGCTTTTAAGATAGTTCTTCTTTTTTGTATATAGAATAATTAGAAGTGATGAATTAGACATACTCTGCTCATAATCTTAATTAATATCTTTACATCTTACATTTCAGCTGGGAAATTGGGAATGGCTAAGGCAAATCACTCGTTGACCACTGAATTCATCCTCATAGGATTCACAGATCTCCCAGACCTGAAGAGCCTTCTGTTTATCCTGTTCTCTGGCATCTATCTCATCACCATGGTGGGAAACCTAGGTTTGGTGGCCTTGATTTATATAGAGCACCATCTTCACACACCAATGTACATCTTTCTGGGCAACCTGGCTCTGATGGACTCCTGCTGTTCCTGTGCCATCACTCCCAAGATGCTAGAGAACTTTTTCTCTAAGGACAGAAGGATTTCCCTCTATGAGTGCATGGCACAGTTTTATTTTCTCTGTCTTGCTGAAACTGCAGACTGCTTTCTTCTGGCAGCCATGGCCTATGATCGCTATGTGGCCATATGCAGCCCACTGCAGTACCACACCATGATGTCAAAGAAACTCTGCATTCACATGATTACTGGGACCTTCATAGCTAGTAATCTTCATTCTATGCTTCATGTCGGACTTCTGTTAAGGTTAACTTTCTGCAGGTCTAATCAAATTAATCACTTTTTTTGTGACATTCTTCCACTGTACAGACTGTCATGCACAGATCCTTTTATTAACGAACTAATGATATATATTTTTTCAATGCCAATTCAAGTCTTTACCATTGCTACTGTCTTGATTTCTTATCTCTGCATTCTTTCCACAATTTTCCAAATGAAATCTAAGGAAGGTAGAGGTAAAGCATTTTCTACCTGTGCATCCCACTTTCTCTCTGTCTCAATATTCTACATTTGTCTTCTAATGTATATTCGACCATTCGAAGAAGGTGATAAAGATATACCAGTCGCAATATTTTATACAGTAGTAATTCCATTATTAAACCCTTTTATATATAGCCTGAGAAATAAGGAGGTAATAAATGCTGTAAAAAAAGTTATGAGGACTTATACTTAGGCAAGCTTCATCTACCACAAGTTGATTTCATTTTATGAAATTTTTTCATAAAAGTGGACATAGAAAAAGATTTTTTTAAAAGGTCTATCTTTAAATCAATAGGCTGTGTTTGTTAAAACATATATGAACCGAATTTTAAAACTATTTGATGTCTTAATCCATTATACAACCAGTATAAAGCAATGAAAACTAAGTAGTAACTGTATTTACCAACTGTCATTACTCTCATGGAATTGTGAGATGGTATTGTTTCAAAACTCAGTATGTCAACATAGCTTCAAAATTAAATACTGAAGTATGGAAAGAGTCTTGAGTAATATTTTCTAGTTAACAGAAGAAATTTTATCTGGTTCTTGGTAAAGTTTTTAAAGCATTTAACACTCTCTAGCAGAAAAGTGAAATGATAATTGTTTTCTGGAAAACTGACCTGACAGATACATGTGGTTTAGTTTAAAGGGAGATAGAATAGAAACAAACTAATTGCAGTAAATTATACCTGCTGCAATAAGGTTTTATTTACATGAAATTCCTAGAATGAACAAAAGAAAATAATGAGAAAAATAAATATATATTATGTAGACTAACACTGAATATAACAAAGTGGTAAATTTTTCTTTTATCTGAGGTATTATCTGAGGCTTTATCTGATGCTATTTTTATTTTGAAGGCATCAAACTGTGCTACATATTACAGAATATTAGAGAGTGGTTTGCATATTAAACACTCAATAAAAATTTAAAACATGTTCATGAAAATACTGCTTTTTTAGTACAACAAGATTTACCAAAATTGTATATGTTTATTTTTACTATTGTTTACAGAAAAAATATATTAAAATATGCAAGTATTTATGGCAAATAATTTCTTTGAGTGCTGCTGTCTTTTTTGTGTTTTTAGTCAATATTTGTTTACGATAGTTATAATCTAATAACATTTATTTTGAAATACATGTACTCATGATTTTTATGTAATTTTAAAAATATTCTCTTGTCTACAGTTTCTTTCTAAATCCGAAGTCCAGTAGTAATTACTACATTTTATATTGTTCTCTTTATCTTCTCTCCTGCTTCCTTCTCATTTTACTCTTGACTTTTTTGGATAAAACTTTGATGTTGACTGTTTATTCGTCTTAGAGTTAACGGAGAATACGGCACACGACCTTCACACTGAGCTACATCCCAACCCCCTTTTTCACTTTCATTTTTGAAACAGATTCTTGCTGAGATTCTCACTAAGCTGCACAGGCTGTACTTCAACATTCATCATTCTGCCTCAGCCTCCCAGAGTGCTGGGATTTCAGGCTTACATAAACTGCCTTGGCTTCAGTTAATTTCAATTATCCACTGGTTTAAGAGCCTTCTGATGAGATGATTGGATTGTGAGAACACTAACTTCATCGATGAATTAAGGTTTTGATGAGTTCATGGCTCAATGGATTAATAAGAGGCATGGCCTAGTTGGAAGGAGTGGGTCTTGTAAACAGGACCTGGAGTCTATATCTGGTTCCTGGCAACTTCCTCACTGGTTCTTCTCCTGTGTTCAGCTTCTTGACCAGCATGAAGCAAACAACTTTGTTGCATCACGCCTTTCTGCAAAGATGTTCCTGCCTTGGAGCCAGATGACCTTTGACTGAAACTTCTGAAACTGAGCCAAAATAAGCTCCTCCTCCTTTAAATTGGCATATTAGCTATTTTTTCCCAGAATGGGAAATAAACTAATAAATGGTACAATTTGAAGGTGTTATTATATATGGCCTGTTTCTTTAGAAATAACCCACAGATTAATTTCATTCTTTTTCTTATGCATTGAGTTTATTGGTATATTTTAGGTATACAGTACTGTTACATACATTATTGGGATCTTATACCTTTACATGACAGGTCTTTGTTCTCATTTTTCCCCTTGTCCCTGCCTTTCCTTCACCCCCTCCTCCTCTCCGCTTTAAAAAAAACTTCATTTCCATTTTTTCATTTTCTCCCACTTTTTTCTTTTCCCTTATTAACATTCCCATACCCTTCCCCCTTTCCCTACACCTTTACCCCCTTTCTTCCTATTTCACATTGTCCATTATATCATTAGGATCTTATGTGCTATTAAAGTTTATTCATACCAGAGAAACTATTTGGTAATTACACATGTGTGACTTATTTATTTCACTTAGGAGTATATCCTCAATATGTATCCATTTTCTAATGAATGAATCTAATTTCTCATTCTTTATGGCTGAGTAATATTCCATTTTATAGAAAAACCATATCTTCTTTATCCAGTTTCCAACTGTCTGTCACATGGGCTGTTTCCAAGTTTTAGCTATTGCAAACTGTGCCGCTATAAACATAGCTGTGTATATATCAGTGTGGTATGATTCTTTTAATTCTTCTAGAAAGATACCCAGCAGAAGGATGCCTGGGTCAAATGGAACCTCTTGTCCCAGCTCTTTGCAGTATCTCCATATTGATTTCCATAGTGGTTGCCCTAGTCTGCACTCCCACCAACAACGGAGAAGGGTTCCTTTCTCTGCAGGACCATGCAAACATTTGTTATTGCTTGATTTCTTGATAGCAGCCATTCTTTGTGGGGTGAGGTGGAATCTCAGTGTTGTTTTCATCTGCATCTCTTGAATGACCAATGATGTGGAACATTTTTTCACGTATTTACTTGCTGCTTTTACTTCTTTGTCTGAGAGATGTCTGTTCATTTCAGATGTCCATTTTTGAATCGGGTCTTTATATTTGGGGGGGATGATTATTTTGAGTTCTTTATATATTCTGGATAATAGTCCCTTGTCTGAAGAGTAGCTGGTAAAAAAATTTTTCCACATTTTAGTTTGTCTCTTAGTTCTGTTTATGGTTTCTTTTGCAGTGCAGAAGATTTTTTAATAATATGAGATCTCAGTTGTTGATTCTTTCTCCTAGCTCTTGAGCTACTAAGGATTTATTCATAAAGTCTTTTCCTATGCCAATGTCTTCAAGAGTTCTGCCTAACTTATCTTCCAGCAATTTTAGTGACTCTTTTTTTTATTATTTAGATCTTTAATGCACTTGGATTTTAGTTTAGTGCATGGTAAGAGATAAGGGTCTAGTTTTAATCTTTTGCAGGTTGAAATCCAGTTTTTCCAACACCATTTATTAGAGAGGTTAGATAGCTCTAATTTTAAAATGGGCAAATGATTTCAGTAGACATCGCTGAAAGAATATATATACAAGGCCAATAATATTAAAAAGAATGCTTACCATCACTATTCTTCAGGGAAAAATACTGATCAAAATCACTGTAAGCTATCATTTCAACCCAGGTGGAATGATTTTCATCCAAAGGGGGGAAAAAAGGAAAAAAAAATTACTAATGCTGACAAGTATGTAGTGAAAGGATAATACTTACATACTGCAAATAGAAATGTAAATCAGGGGCCAGGGATTTAGCTCAGTGGTGTTACCACCTGCCTCGCAAGCACAAGTTCCTGAGTTCAATCCCTGGTATAAAAAAAAAAAAGGAAGAGATACAAATCAGTATAACCATTATAAAAAAAAAAGGTGTGGTGTTTAACACACACACAAAACCACTACAAACCTAACTACTAAATGATCCATCTATCTCACTTCTGAGTATATATTTAAATGCGTAAAATTAGTTTTTCAAAGGGACGCCTATACTACTATGTTTATTGTGCAGCACCTTTCACCATAGCTAACATATTGAATCAAAAGAAGCATCCACTAATGAGTGAATTCATAAAGAAAATGTGGTGTACACACAATGATATATTGTTCAGCCATAAAAATAACAAGATATGCAGCCAAAATAGCTCATTTGGGGGACTATTAGACTGAAAAGAACAAAGTCTTTTTTTTTCATTTGCAGAAAAATGGAGGGGAACAGAAGGATACTACGTTGTGAAATAAGTACAGAAAAACAAACATCATTTGTGATCAGTCACAGATGGAAGCTAAAAAAAGTAAAATAGAAGTTGAGAGAAGAATGCCAATGACTAGTGCCTGGGAGGAATAAAAAGAAGGGGTAAACAAAAGATGCATAATGAGTACCAAAATGCAGTTAGATAGGAAAAATAAGTTCTGGTCCTTCTATACTGCAGTGTGTGATTAGAATTTAAGACAGTTTATATTTTTAAACAAATAGCAGAGGGGAATTCTTAGGCTTCAAGCACAAAAAAAAATGATGAATATTTTAAGAAAATGATAATTATCACAATTTGATCAGTACACATTGTTTACATGTATCAAATTATCACACTATATCCCATAAAATGTTCAATTATTATTTGCTAGGTAAAAATACATTGCAGAGGGCCGGGAATTTAGCTCAGGGGTTTGGTGGCCTGCCTTGCAAGCTCGAGGACCCAAGTTCGATCCCCAGCACCCCCAAAAAAAATTTTTGCAAAACATTAAAAGTTTGAAAATTAATACAAGCATATTCTTGAATTTCTGTGTCATCCTGCCATGTAATAATTAAAAAATAATGGTCAAATAGCACAGACATTTTTCCAAATATATTATAGCCATTTAATTAATAATAGTACAAGAGTATTTAATATACTTTTGTATCATTCATACATACTATAAAATGTTTATACCATTTCTTTCCTTAAATTTTATTCTGAACTTTTTGCTTATATTTTTTCTAGTATACATATTTTAGTATACTGTTATATATACCTAATTTAAAGGAGATATGCATATATTTATATCTTAAATGTTTGTATTTAGCATTAATGTACAAACAATGCAGTTGTAGTCTCTCTTCTAATGCAAGATGATAACTGAAAGCAGATGGATGAGAACCGAAACTCACAATAAATGAAATGGATAATCAAAGGCCTGTTCCCAAATGAAAGAAGAGGGAGGACAAGGACAAACCCAGAGAAGCACAAGCATTATATAGCAGAAAGAAAGAAATATGAACTAACATAAAAGGTGGAGCTAGAACAACTAGGAAACTAGAACGAGTGAGTGTTATTATTATAGAGACAAAAGTGAGGAGAA